CCAATAAGATTTGAGCTAGGATCACGTGACCGGACCAGCTGCTGTTGTAAAAAAGGGTGAGAATGGTGGCGCTGTTTCGAAAACCAGTGTAAACAAACACAGAAGAAGAGTATCCCGGATAAGAGAAGAGAGTGGATGCTGAGTTCTTGTTAATGTTGGTATTTGAGAACAGATTTATTCTCACATGTTCTTTATACAGAATAACATTTCTATTAATTGTCCACTGAATTATGTGATCTGTAGAGCACCGTCCGTTTTCTTCCATGTGCACGAGTGTTATGAGTCAGAGCGCGTTGACTCTTTTTCTACACATGAAATATGAAAGCAAATAGACATATGATTATGACGATATATTTTCTGTATGTGTTTTGTATGCAGCTCATGGTATTTTATAGCAATAAAGGATGTTTATGACAAATATTAGAAGTGTAGCATTATTAAACATACAAAGAGTGCATGTTGTTTCTGGTGTAGAACCTTGTTTATCTTAATTTAATGCTGCATATTGAGCAGCGGATGATGTTAAATCCATTTACGTGATATATATATGTGGAAAAATGCATTGTTGGTCGGCGCCACCTAGCGTGCAGGCATGAATTAGCAGAAGGTGAACAATCATTTCGCGTTCGGTGTGAAAGCACCTTTTGTCGGCGATTCGCTTCGCTTTTTCGCATTGCGCTCAGTGTGGAAAGGCCTTTATACTGGTGTGCAAGAAATGTACAAGATACTGTGCAAGATACTGGTGTTTCCAGTGTAGCCCAGTGCACCAGACTACTTTGAGCATTGATTAAAAGTTAGCATCTCATTTTAAGATAATTTAATAGTCAATATAAAAAGATAACATGTTCAGAGTTTAAATCATACACATTATTTTTTGTGTCTGAATTTCACTAACGCTCCGATCTGCCAAACAAACTAAAACCAATAGCTACTTACCCAAGGAATTGAGCTCCAGAGGGTCCAACCTCAATCACCCTGCTAGCTAGACCGTCACCCTCTACCATGGGGGGCATGGTGGCCAGTCGGTGCCTTTTCACCAGTCTACAGGTGACTCGAGTAGGTGCACTGCATTTCCGTGGTGGAATGATCAGTCGTAGACCATTGTGGCGGCATCCACGCATGGCACCTCCACGGGCATCCACCATGAAGCTGACTAAGAAACTGCATTGAGGATGTACAATGTTAAAATGTATTTTAAAAAGGCACCATATCTTCAGATGAAGTAAGAATTTAGTAACGTTTAATAAAGAACCACTTCAATGAAAACCATATGCATGTCATGAAAGTCACTTCAAAAGGTGATCATGATATTCCAGCCTGGTCTCATTGTTTTTAAGTAGGTATTAGTATGTAACATTTACAGGTACAACAATATTTTTGTATGTTTGGATAGATACAGAAATGTACAATATGGATGAACTGACAACATCTAAAATGCAAACATTATTTGTGTATTTACACCTATAAAAACTGTAATATTAAACCTAAAACTAAACATAACCACTGTTTATAAAAAGAATATATAAATTAAATGCATAAATATAAATTTAATATTTGTATCCTATGGCAAACCCATGTAATTCATAGTTAAACAATTCCCAAAATTTTATTAATTTTTAAGCTTTAAAGTGACGGCTTAATTAACATAAATTTTGAATCAAGTTAAATTAATAAATTAAATGAGCAACTGCCGTAAACAAATGCAACTGAAATCATAACCTCCATGATCATAAATACAAAATCAACCATTAATTCCATGAATTCGATATTCATAAATAATGGTTTGTAAATATGTATGCCTATACAGTTTTCATGTGTAAATTAGCAACGTTTTCAGATGCAATCAATACGGTAATATTGTACATTTTATTGTATATGCAAACGTAAGTAAATGTATGTGAAGTAGAACTACATTTACTACAAAACTACAGAACCACACTATGTAAAATACATACAAATACCCATGAGATCCCGGTGGATATTCAAACACATAAACATTATCAAAACAACATATATCAGTGTTTGATTTTCATGCAAACACACACACAACACCTGCACAAATTGTCTGGAAATGTGGATATACAATCCTAGAGACACAACATGCAAAGCAAACAAAAATGCCCATTTTTATGTATATGAAAATTATGTTTGTGTAAAGTATACATAAGTATATGTAAGTATATGTAAATTTTGCAAGAATTACAATTCTTATGCAATCACTTTTGTGCTGGCTATGATAATGCACTTAATTCACTTTCAGTAACTTGGTTCATGTGTAAATTAGCAACGTTTTCAGATGCAATCAATACGGTAATATTGTACATTTTATTGTATATGCAAACGTAAGTAAATGTATGTGAAGTAGAACTACATTTACTACAAAACTACAGAACCACACTATGTAAAATACATACAAATACCCATGAGATCCCGGTGGATATTCAAACACATAAACATTATCAAAACAACATATATCAGTGTTTGATTTTCATGCAAACACACACACAACACCTGCACAAATTGTCTGGAAATGTGGATATACAATCCTAGAGACACAACATGCAGAGCAAACAAAAATGCCCATTTTTATGTATATGAAAATTATGTTTGTGTAAAGTATACATAAGTATATGTAAGTATATGTAAATTTAGCAAGAATTACAATTCTTATGCAATCACTTTTGTGCTGGCTATGATAATGCACTTAATTCACTTTCAGTAGTTAACTTGGTTAATTTGGATCTTTGTACACCAACACAAGCTTTCTTATTCTTTAAATCAATCCTCACAGAATGCAGGTCAGCATTAAACAAATTATCACAGACTATTTTCTGTTCCTGAAACAAAATGCACAATCTACTATTTTTTTTATGGCTCAATTTGTATAGGTATGTATCTTTGATACATTTAAATGTAAAATTAAGCATTTATTTTTTGTATATATTGTTAATATATAATAATAATAATAATAATAATAATAGTATGTTACAGTAATGGTGTAATATCACATTATACTTGGTAAGTTTTGTCTGTCACAAAATCCATGATTAAACAGATTAAAACAAATGAGAAACAGACAAATACTGTGTTAGTCTCCAAGAAATGTTTGTGAAATGACAAATAACATTCAGATGACTTCAAACTTGCAGTGCCTTTTAACATCTTTAGGGAGTAAATACGTGTGTGTGTGTGTGTGTGTGTACAAATTGTCTATTACAAATTGTAATAATCCAAAAGGCATAGCAAGAAGATGGCAGACTAGGTGATTCCTGTGCAGAATGCACACTGAACGGAGCAGAGGAGGTCTGAGGTCAAATGACACGTTGCAGTCACCTGCTATTGTCATGGTCATGACATGGAGAACAACGGCTGAAGACCAAAAATACCATCCATCAGAGAGAAAAAGTCAGAAAGAGAGAATGAAGTTTGAAAAACAGAGGAACTAACAATAAGTGAGAAGTGATATAGTAACTTTGCATTTTCAAGGCCACCATCCTACAAGTTTCTGGTTGTTAAAAATGTGTGCAGATTATGTATGCATATTATTTTTAAAAAAAACTTTGGTCCCACTTTATATTAAGTGGCCTTAACTAGTTAACTTGGTTAATTTGGATCTTTGTACACCAACACAAGCTTTCTTATTCTTTAAAATCAATCCTCACAGAATGCAGGTCAGCATTAAACAAATTATCACAGACTATTTTCTGTTCCTGAAACAAAATGCACAATCTACTATTTTTTTTATGGCTCAATTTGTATAGGTATGTATCTTTGATACATTTAAATGTAAAATTAAGCATTTATTTTTTGTATATATTGTTAATATATAATAATAATAATAATAATAATAATAGTATGTTACAGTAATGGTGTAATATCACATTATACTTGGTAAGTTTTGTCTGTCACAAAATCCATGATTAAACAGATTAAAACAAATGAGAAACAGACAAATACTGTGTTAGTCTCCAAGAAATGTTTGTGAAATGACAAATAACATTCAGATGACTTCAAACTTGCAGTGCCTTTTAACATCTTTAGGGAGTAAATACGTGTGTGTGTGTGTGTGTGTGTACAAATTGTCTATTACAAATTGTAATAATCCAAAAGGCATAGCAAGAAGATGGCAGACTAGGTGATTCCTGTGCAGAATGCACACTGAACGGAGCAGAGGAGGTCTGAGGTCAAATGACACGTTGCAGTCACCTGCTATTGTCATGGTCATGACATGGAGAACAACGGCTGAAGACCAAAAATACCATCCATCAGAGAGAAAAAGTCAGAAAGAGAGAATGAAGTTTGAAAAACAGAGGAACTAACAATAAGTGAGAAGTGATATAGTAACTTTGCATTTTCAAGGCCACCATCCTACAAGTTTCTGGTTGTTAAAAATGTGTGCAGATTATGTATGCATATTATTTAAAAAAAAAACTTTGGTCCCACTTTATATTAAGTGGCCTTAACTATTATGTACTTACATCAAAAATAAGTACAATGTACTTATTGTGTTCATATTGTATTGCAAAACACTTTTGCTGCTATTGAGGTGGGGATACAGGTAAGGTTAAGGTTAAGGTGTAAGGGATGGGTCAACAGTGTAATTATAAATGTAATTACAGAAATTAATTACAGATGTAATTACATGCACATATATTTCAAATATAAGTACAACGTAAAAACATGTATGTACACGATTAGTGCATTGTACCAAATTATTAATTTAAATGTAAGTACATAGTAGTTAAGGCCACTTAATATAAAGTGGGACCAAAACTTTTAATACCAAGGCAATGCCAATAAGACCAGTAACATATAAAAAATTAAACAGATTAAATTTTGTTTCCACGTTGACCATTAATACAAAGAGTTACAGTACTTGTATGTGTGAGTAAGAAAGTGTTTGATGGAGGGCATGAAGTTGTTTTCCATACCCGGAATGAGCAGGACTTGAGGAAAGTGCTATGTTGTCCAAGTTTTCCGTTTCCCAGCTATATGAGTCCTTTTCATTTTCTCGTGCAAGTGAAGACACCTGGAGTGGATAAAGACATCTTTGTTAAAATTGGGGCTTTATCTACTAATACAGACATGAAATCCAGAATCTTTAAAAACTTGTATATTTATATATAAAAAAGTTGACTAATCTGTTCATTAATCATATAAATTCTTGAAGGCCACCACAGGGTATCACAAATGAAGGCCTTCATATAAAACATTATTTTACAATAAAAAAAAAAATACATGCATGAAAAAATTCTCAACTTTACCTGGTTGCTGTATATCATATCCTCCATCATCCCATAGTGTCTTGCAGGGTAGTAACTTTGGTGAGTGGGTGTGTAGGACCTGTCCAAACTAAAGAAAAACATACAGTTTACACAATCAATAGGTTGTCATCTTTTACCTTTATTTATATACCACTTTATACAATACAGATTGTGTTAAAGTCATTGTAGTATCATTACTGATAAAAATGTATCCATTCAAGTAGCAACTAGTTCTAAAAATACACTGTATTAGAACAAAAATAGTGGGATCATCTTTAATATGATCACTGATACGTAGAGAGTGCAGAGTTCCTCACATACCTTTGTAAGCGACTATGTCAGCATTAGCAGAAAGAAGAATACGTGAGTTACAAATAAATGTATACATTTAAATATAAAGCATTTAAAATTATACATTGTTATGTTTGAGTTATACTAAGGAACTGTAAGTATTCTGAAAGAAAGTGAGAACTGAATATGAAAAATTACAATTTGCCAATTTTATGTTTGACAAATTGCACTATAAGAAAATAGCAGCTTTTCGAAAACAAGTATAACTCTATTTATCAACTTGTATTTCATTAAGTATCAAAACTAACGTACCTGTCTGATCGGCCTCCTTCTAAACTGAAGCGCAAGTAGTTCATACCATCCAGGTACTGCCCAGGTAGAGAGTCGTCTCCTAACTCTCTCAAATCCTCTGCTCTCAAATATTCCCCACCATCACCTGTCATGGTGTCATCACCTGCTGACAGACAGATGATGTTATTACTGTAATCCCATATATCTACAATTTACAAACACATTTAAAGTTTTTTTTTAATATAATAAAATAATCACTTGTTAAAAACTTGAGAGACCTTGAGAGAGAAAAAAAAACCCTGGATGCATTATATACACACATAAATGCACAAAACCTTTACTTTACAGATTCTTCATTCTTTCCATTTACATTTGTTAAAGATTGCTTATATCAGCAAAGCCTCTATGATTTGGTACGACAGCAATCTACAGTGAAGCAGTCCTAGGGCGATAAAATCAAGGGTAGGCTAAATGAAGCAGCTCTGCCACAGTATGGCCAGCAGGGGCAGTGTCTCTAGCCTGTGCTGTAAGCCAATGAGCTGACATACTGTAGACCGACATTGGAGTTTGGCTTTCAGTTGCATATTGGCTGCCTAGAGTGTGGAACAATAGGAAAAAAACAACACAAATAGTATGTAATATAATTAATAAATTATTTGCATTAAAAAAAAAAAAAGAAATAAAAAGAAACTGTCTGAGTTTTAGATAGACAGATCTCTCAGATACTATAGGTGTTCAAACTTCCACACTTTTATTTTCACCCTTAAAAATCAAAACATTTGTGTTTTGTGGTTTTTAGTTCATTAGTCTCTTAGCTTTAAAATCATTTGCTGCACATGGTAGAGTACTCCAAAAGGTTGACAAAAACCCTTTTTAGTACATATATACAATATTAAAATGTACAGTCTTCATGGGGAAAAAAGATGAAATTAGAATGTCTCATAGCACAGTTAAATAAAATAAAATTAACTGAAATAAATAAAATTGATTTTTATTTATATAAATGTATTAAAAGAAATTGTTCATTTTAATTTGATTAAAATTAAAAGATTAATTAAATTGTGACTGTTTTATGTCTTTATTTGATAATACATTTAATTTGATTATAAATAAAAAAAAATTAAAAAAGGAAAAAAATTATCATAAGCAGATTATTATCGTTAACTAATATCGTAAAAACATTACTTTTCTGAATTGAAATAAAATGAATATTAACTGAGAATATATCTATATATGTTAATTTGATAAAAGTACTTAAATCAAGTAGCTCCCAAGGCAACATTTCTCATTTTTAAGTTCAAGTATCTAAAATATATAAAAAAATAATAAAAACAATATAGATATATTAAATTATTATTATTAGTAGTAGTAGTAGTAGTAGTATTAAAAACAACAATAAAATAAAAAATAATAATAACAAAAATTACTAAATTACTAAACAAAATTACTAAAAGTTTAAAACATGAACAAAAACTCCACTAATATGATACTAAAATAACTGCTTAGCAACACCTGCGTCTGCCTAGCAATAGTCATAGCTATTACTGGGATATTGATGTGTTTTTAGTAGGGTTGGTTTTGCCAGGAAGTGACAAACTAAAAGGTGATATTTATAAATCTAATGCCAAAAAATTACCAGCCATGCCTTAATTGTGTCAGTATGTACACATTTTACAATTTTTACATATTATACAACTTCCAACTGGGAATTATTTGACCTTTTTAAAGAAGAAGCAGTTATTTTCAACTTATAAAAATACACCAATGTTTAGTAGACTGCCTATTAACTTATTGGCTGGACTACAATTCCAAATTATTAGTAGTAGTAGTAGTAGTAGTATTAAAAACAACAATAAAATAAAAAATAATAATAACAAAAATTACTAAATTACTAAACAAAATTACTAAAAGTTTAAAACATGAACAAAAACTCCACTAATATGATACTAAAATAACTGCTTAGCAACACCTGCGTCTGCCTAGCAATAGTCATAGCTATTACTGGGATATTGATGTGTTTTTAGTAGGGTTGGTTTTGCCAGGAAGTGACAAACTAAAAGGTGATATTTATAAATCTAATGCCATCCCAATAATGGGAATTATTTGACCTTTTTAAAGAAGAAGCAGTTATTTTCAACTTATAAAAATACACCAATGTTTAGTAGACTGCCTATTAACTTATTGGCTGGACTACAATTCCAATAAATTACAGCAACAATAAAACAATACATATAATACATATCATTATGTTTCATGAAAAATCATTAACCACTACAAAGTTTAGACAGGCACCGACTGGTCATTTAGTAATATAGATTTAAAAGTAGCCAATTCCATCATGCCACACACACTTCTTGCATATACAGTACAACTATTATTAATATCAATAAAACCTGCAAGTTCATTTAGAAAGGTTGAGCTTTTACACCACACCAATCCATGCTCTGTCACTCTATACCTTCAAAATCAAGAGAGTCATCAGACATAGCCCCATCATCTACCTGTCTTGGAACTGCAGGAAATTCCATGTTAATACACATTAGAAACCCAATCACACTAGAATACACACAACTGGAAATCTGTCAACATATTACAAGTGAAAACGTCAGACTTGCCAACATACTTGAGGAAATATTCCGGGATTGAGTGACTGATGGACTGACTGACTGATTAAATAAAGCAGTTTAATAAAATAATAAAGCAATACAATAATTGTTTGTCACACTCACCCTCTTCGTCAGACACATCAAGGACTTCTGTCATGGTCTCTGGCACATTTAGCTTGTGTTTCTCTGTCACCGTCTACAAATGTGTTTTTTGTTGTTGTTGTTAATAGTTAAAATCCACAATGCATATATTTTTATGAACTTCATATAAATGCACATTCTTGGGTAAACTTACCGTTGTTGTAGTGATAATTTCCTCTGTGACTACTCTCAGAGTGTCAACCACAGAAATGTAACCAAGGCGACGTGCGATGGCAAGAGCGGTGTTTCCATTCTACACAGTGGAGGACATAATATCAACAACGAGATTAGACATTTGCTTTATTTTTCTTTGAAGCGTTTTCTCCTTTTCAGGGGAACATGTATTAAAAAAGTCAATAGGATCCATTTTATGCTGATTTTATTGAAGAAAATGTTTAAATGGAGTATGTGTTTGTATGTTTGCATGTGTATGTATTTACTGTGCTGGTTTTCAGCTCCCCGCCTCAGTGCCTTTCTTCCCGGAGGTGCATGAGGAGCTCACCAGGTCATGGACGGCACCTTTTACTGCCGGAAACCGACCTGCTGGTTCCTCCTCCCTCACCACCCTCGACGTTGGTGCAGCTAGGGGGTATACAAGGGTCTTATTTGTCCTAAAAGCAATTGTGTCCTAATACCGCCTCCACCCGGCAGGGCGAACCATGCCTCCCCTTCCGGGTCTGTAGGTACTCGTCTGGCCTATCCGGCGATGCTTATATGGCCTGTGGAGAAGCTGCCTCCGCCTTACACGCTACGGCGTTACTGCAGGTTCATCAGGCCAAGGCACTGAGGGACCTGCACGAGGGTGGTCATGATCCGGAAGTTCTGAAAGAGCTCCAAACCGCTACTGACCTCGTGCTCCGAGCGACGAAGGTCACCGCGAGTTCTCTGGGTCATGCGATGTCCACACTTGTGGTCCAGGAGCGCCATCTCTGGCTGTGTCTGGTTGATACAAGGGACGCCGACAAAGTTCGGTTCCTTAATGCCCCTCTGTCCCAGACCGGCCTCTTCGGCGACGCAGTCGAGAGCTGGGTCCAGTAGCTCTCGGCTGCACAGAAGCAGCGCCCCAGCCTGCTCGTCGCTTGCACGGTATCTGGGTGCCTGGCTAGCGCTACCCAACTTGTCTCATTGGCTTCTGCGGACCATCAGCCTTGGCTATGCGATTCAGTTTGCCCGGCATCCCCCCAAGTTCAGTGGCATCCACTTCACGACAGTGAAGGCGGCCGATGCTCCTGTCTTGCATGCGGAGATCACCGTCCTACTGGCGAAGAATGCGATAGAGCTGGTCCCTCCAGCCAATATGAATACAGGGTTTTACAGCCCTTACTTCATTTTACCCAAGAAAGGCAGTGGGTTACGACCAATCTTGGATCACACGCTTACGCCGTGAAGTGGAACCTGTTCGTCGAGTGGTGTTCTTCTCGTCGGGAAGACCCCCGGAGATGCCCGAGCAGGGTCGTGCTTTCCTTTTTGCAGCAAGGGTCGGAGCGAAGGCTGTCTCCCTCCACCCTTAAAGTCTATGTCGCTGCGATTGCTGCTAACCATGACCCCGTGGAAGGGAAGTCGGTAGGGAAGCATGATCTGGTCATCAGGGGGGCTGCTTCATATGAGACTGCTCCAGCACTGGCTTCATGGCCGAATCCCGAGGTGGGTGAGGCAGCACGGCACTCACCAGGTCCAAGTTACACTGGCCTGTCGCCAAACCTTCACCCCGTGTTCAGACCTTTCGTTCATCTGGGCAGGAGTGCCCCTAGAACAGGTCTCCAGGCATGCTGTGGTTTACACGGATGCCTCCACCACCGGCTGGGGGGCCACGTACAACGGAAACGCAGTGTCGGGGGTATGGACGGGCCCCCAACTGCACTGGCATATCAGTTGCCTAGAGTTGTTAGCAGTGTGCCTTGCCTTGAACCGTCTCAAAGGGTGCTTACGAGGCAAGCACGTGCTGGTCCGAACAGACAACACGGCGACCGTTGCGTACATTAACCAACAAGTTGGTCTGTGCTACCGTCGCATGGTGCAAACGCCCGCCACCTCCTCCTTTGGAGTCAGAAGGTTTTGAGGTCACTTCGTGCAATTCACATTCCGGGTCTGCTCAACGTACGGTTGACGAGCTGTCACAAGCTACGCTCCCGGGAGAATGGAGACTCCATCCCCTGCGGGCTGGGCGACCCCCAACACGTTCGCTAAGATTCTATAGCCTTTGTGTGGAGCCGGTATCCTCCTGTGTTCTCACCTCAAACGGGTAGAGGCGCTGAGAGGCACCGGTTTAGTGTCGGCTTGCTAAAACTGCTCCAGAGTGTCCGTACTGTAGGCCCTGTCGGGCTCCTCCGTCCCCTCGGCAGCCAGACGTGGCGGAACGTCCGGCCCCAGGCCCTCTCTCGCTGAATCCTTGAGAACCGGTAGAGGGCTGGGTTCCATATGTAGAGACCTAAGCAGATCCCATATGTGTAAAGTCCACGGGATAGTCTCAGAGCCTGTGTTTCCCCGGCAGACTTCTGCCATTTCCATGAGGGTTACAATCACCTCTAATCTTCCATATGCACCTAAACGGATGTCATATGTGTAAGTGCTTCCGAAACCTCCTTCAGGAAGGATGGGGCTTCCGCAACGTTCCTGTTCCAAGTGGAACGGGTACATTTTCCCAGTGTTATCCAATCTCACTGAGTGGGTAGTGCTATGACAACATTGACTGGTCTTCTTGTTGCGAGCCCCGGCCTACACCACAAAGCGCAGGCGCAGGCATCTCGCACAGGACACTGGAAGGGGCAGCATCCATGACGCTTCGGTAGGGATCCCAATTCGTCGGTCACTGACGTGACTCGGAGTGACCGACTGAAAGGGAACGTCTCGGTTACGTATGTAACCCTCTTTTCCTGAAGGAGGGAACGGAGACATCACGTCTCGTCGCCACGGCTGCTGTACCACCGCTGAACGGCCGGGTCACCGGCTCGGCTCCTCAGCGAAAACCTGGTATGCATTGCACCGGCTGCCTTTTTATGCTCATGCTGTGATCAGTGGCAGCTGGATGCAATCATCGCATGCCAATGTGCATTGGCTCGTTTAGTTTACACTCGATGTGGATTGGTCTCTCTAAGCGAGATCCCAATTTGTCGTTCACCGACGTGACGTCTCCATTCCCTCCTTCAGGGAACAAGGGTTACATACGTAACCGAGACGTTATTTTTTATTTATTTAAATATAAAATGGTCTTTATATTAATATAAAAAATTCAGAGATTAAGAAATACCTTTGTTTTAGCATTGACACTTCCCCCACTCTTCAACAGAAAATTAACCATCTTTGCATTTCCATAGTGGCAGGCAACAATAAGTGGTGTGTATCCCAACTGAAATAGAGATCATATTATCAGCATCGGTGCTAGTTATTGAGAAAAATTTCTTACTTTGGGATATAATAATAATCGTCTTACTTTGGTTTGTTGGTCAATGTTGGCACCGTGCTTAACTAAAATCTCACCAACACCTACTCTGTCTTCTTGGGCAGCAAGATGAAGGGGTGTAAGTCCACTCTGAGAAAACATTAAAAATAATGAATAAATAAATGGACCAATAAAACCAGAGACCTTTACACAACAGAGCTTGAGTTCATTATCACAATAAAATCTGAAATGAAGAGCTTTTTATAGCCTTGGCCTTGGCTATTCTTAAACAAAAATAGGGCTTATAAGTGAACAAAAAGTCATGCACGATACACATCCATCAAGAGGTCAGATTAAATGGAAGATTGGCTCTTAATAGGTACAAAATGGCTTACCTGTTATTCCATTTTCTTTTGCCATGTAAAACCACAGTTTTACATAACCACAGAGTATATAAAACTATTCAAAAACACACAATTGTTGCATTGCTTTGTCCCATTGTTATTTGTTTTAGTGTTTTTTTGCTCTTCTGTAATGTAAATTATTCCACTGCATTAATTAAATGTTTTGTATCTTTGTCTTATTTCAAATGTCATTTACTTTATTGTGATAATGTTTCAAAGTATGGAAACACAAAAGACCAGATAGCTAATATTATTATATGTCAAAGTGATGGAGAGCATATTTAATTATCATTCAATGTTTTTAAAATGCCTAATGCAATTTTGCAAACTCTGCCTCAAAAGTCTTTTTTACAATGTTTAAATTTATTTGATATTTGTAGTGATTTGAAGTATTTTCATAATCATTCACCTTAGTGGGTACATTGACATTAGCTCCTCTTTGCAGAAGCAGAGCTGCCATCTCACTGTGTCCCTCTTGGGAAGCCAGATGGAGCGGCATCACACCCTGTTTGGTCTGGATGTTGGTCTCAGCTCCGTACTGTAGGAGTGTTGTAGCTATTTCCATTTGATTCTTTTTTGCTGCTATATGAAGGGGAGTGTATCCATTCTACATGAACAGAGAAAAGACACAGAGGACAGTTAGGCTGGTGAAGCTACAGAGAGTTTGCTAGAGAAAAAAGAAATGTGAAATAAAAAATAAAAAAAAGGAATGTCATATATATTTTAAGATGACATCATCTCACCTTGGCTGTGGCATGGGGAGATGCTCCTTTGTCCAAAAGCAGGAGCGCCACCTTCTGGTTATCATAGTGAGCAGCGACATGTAGAGCAGTAAGACCATTCTGCAGGGATGATGGTCAGTGCAACATGATTAAGGGAGAACTGTTAGCATTGCAAAAAGCATTAAATCAAACCTGATGACACCTGGAATATTTGATGAAAAAGCAGTGTTAACAGGGATTGTTATAGCGTGGTAAGTTTGAAGGTAAAGTTATCGTCTATATTAGAGTGCAAGCTCGAGAGCAATCAAAACCTAGTTCCTTATTAAAGAAAAAAGGAAGAAAACAATGTTGTTTCTTTTTCTTAACAAAATGTTGTCAGTAATGAAACAATGCTTACCAGTACTCTTGCAGTCAACATAGCCTCAATGTATTTCTTTTAAACAACATTCCAAAAATTCTATGAATTAGGCTAAAACCAACCAGTCATATAAATATTTATAAAAAATAAAAAAAATAAACTGCAAACACACTTTTTTACAACATTAAAAAAAAGCATTATTTTACAAAATTTACAACAAACAGTTTTTTACAAAATGTACAACAGTGTTTTAAAACAGATTGTCAGTTCAGTTTGCTTGTGCCTACCTTCCCAGCAAAGTCAGGGGGTGCCCGCCGCTGTAGAAGTAGTTTTGCCACATCCAGGCTACCGTATTTTGATGCCACATGTAAAGGCGTGAACCCTTTCTGTAAATATTTAAATGCAAAATACAGATAAATCAACTGATCCTTGTCAAACATACTAACCTAACTAGATGTATATGACATTATACACAATACTAATATACACTTAGTATAAACATATTCTAAACAGAAAATCATTAAAAGCTAATAATATAAAATTTTAAAGTAAGCTACAAATTATTGTAAAATTATTACAACAAAAATAATTTTTCTATCAGCTACCATACTGTCAGGTGGACAACTGCCCTGGGCCCTGTGAGAAGATGGGCAGACTAAATATGTTTTGAGATATATGAGTGTATAAAGCCCACAATTTTGTCCTGGGCCCAGTGAATTGAAGCAATAGCTCTAGCTGTCAAACAGTTCTGTTTACTCTTTACTATATGATTCAGATGTAGTTTTTGGTTCTGTCAGCAGGGAGTGACAGTGAGTCCTTCTGAACATAGTACTTTCTAGTTAATGTTTACTAATACCACAATAACTCAGTGGCAGTAACAATAACTGCAGTATTTTTATAACTATATCTGTAGTTATAGTTAATATTAGTTAATAATCCTTGAAAATAATAATAACTTGCAACATATACATATTTGACACCTTTCCAACAATGACTATTGATTTTGACATCAATACATATATTTTTTTCTTTTTACACTTGCTGTATGTCAAGTAAGGGACTCAACTATTACAAATGGTGCAATCATTCATTTATGCTCAAGAAGGTAAATCGCTAAAGGGATGTAAAACATTTTTTTTATTTGTACTGTTCTTCAAAAGCTACATGAGATATTTACATGTTTTCCAGTAGACAAAACCTTTTGCAGATTCTACAAGGTGTATGTATACTTATGACCACAATGATACTGGTATAAATAGGTTTTTTCAACAGGGAGGTAATATCTGGCTATCACTAACCTTGGTAGCTAAAGAGTGAGAAGCGCCAGCCTCCAACAGCACTGAAGTAACGTCCAGATGTCCCTCGCGTGCAGCGATATGAAGGGGGGTGTAACCATTAATGGTTGCTGCATCTGGATGAGCCATGTGTTGTAGCAAGAGCTGGACAATCTCTGTCTTACCCAGACGAGATGCAATGTGAAGCGGAGTCTGATCCTCCTGATGGGTGAGAAGTGGGATATTGGTACATAGGTGCATATAGGCACATTTCGAGTAAACACTGTGTTAAAGTTTTAAGTTTAATTTCAGCAGTTTGGTGTATGTCTCATCTGTTGTCATTAAATTGTATTATATATGGGCTAAATATCTGCATTTTATCAGCCTCTGACCACCCTGCTCTCACAGACCCTTAAAAGCTTATAGTAGTTAGTTACCCACTACTTTTGACATTGTCAAACATTACAGTCATTACAGTTGGAATACCTATTCCCTCTCAAATAAGACAGAAGGATTGGATAAATATTAATATTAAGTGAACACATGCAGTGTTGAAGTATGCCTTTGTCTTACCCTTGCTCTTGCATCCACCATGGCTCCATTTCTCAGAAGACAGCGGACAACTTCCATCTGTCCAGCACGGGCAGCCATGTGCAAAGCGGTCTCTCCACGCTTAGAATACAGAGGGAGTATTCAATGCTCTAGACCAGAGAATTCTAACTTTTTTTCTTAGCTTAACCTCCACGGTTTAAATAATTAAAACCCAACGCCTGTTTCGAAAGGTAGGCATAGGCATCTTCATTATTCTACCTTTATGCCAGCATTAAAAATATGCTTTAAATGAAAAAGGCACTTCTAGAATGCTTTGCATCAAAGTTCAATTTAATTCAGTATACTGATGGATATTAATAAAATATATATTTATGCATAGTTTTATTTAGCGCTATGTGTAAATCATGCTGTGCCTGTAGAACAGTTTGACCACTTTTAAGGTTCCATGATGGAAGACAGATAGCTCACTGTTCACTCACTATATTGCTAACATCAGGGGAGGCTCCATTCTGCAGTAGTAAAAGAACAATGTTGAGGTGACCCATGAAGGCTGCCACATGGATTGGTGTGAGACCAGACTAGAGAGAGAGAGAGAGATGGAGAGATGACAACGACATCAGCCTAATTATCTAAATCAAATAAATCATCAACACACATCATCTACTAACTGTTTCTACCAAATAAGCACAACATGCACATATGCATATTAAGTATATACTGGTATTGTTATACAATTAACAAAAAGCAAAAAAAAAGGCCTCTAACACTAGCTTGCTCTATTCTTTTTCTATTATATCTGTTCTTTTTATTTATTATATACTTTAAAAAAAAAGTGCTACGTGTCAGGATCATGGACCTGTTTTGCCCCTGTTTCTGTTCCTGTTTTCCCTTACTTGGTCATGTTCCTGTCCTCGTTCAGTCTAATTAGTTTGATTATGATCCCATGCACCGGTGTTTCCCCAATCATCCCCTTTATTTAAGTCTATGCCTTTGCGTTCTGGTTTTGTCGAGTCTACTTGTTATGTTCGTGTGTTTCCTGCCGTTTCCAGTGTTGGATGTACCCTGTGTGTGGATTATATTAAAGACTGTTTCGTTTATTCCACGTCTCCATTGTTCCTCTCCGAGGCAGAGTGTGACACTACGTGTACTGGGTTAGGCTAACTGAGACTTGTCATAGCACTTGCATATTGCTCTTTTGTTGATTTTGATTGCTTCCGTTGTCCTCATTTGTAAGTCACTTTGAATAAAAGCATCTGCTAAATTACTAAATGTAAATGTATTGTGATTATATTGATATACAGTATTGATCAATAAAATGAATAGACCCTAAACAGCTCTATTGTGTTCTGAATCTATGTTTTTCTATGCTGACTGTGCAGGAAAAAATTATGGAATTGATCAGAATGTGGTAAAATGTTAAACAAAGCTGAAACCAAACATTTATTAGTAACTTTCAGTATGTATGTAACCCTTGTTCCCTGAGTAGGGATGAGAAGCTGCATCAGTAGCTGACACTATGGAAACATTTGGTCAGTCATAAAATGGTGATGTTGTCCAAATTTCCAATAAGTCATAAATAAATTTCCTATTCGAACGTGCAGAAACAGGATGCCATACGGTTCTAAAAAACCCATCAGGACACATTTGGCAGAAGTCTCCATGTTGGCAGATGGACAGAGAGATGTGTCAGGTGCTCTGTCACTGAAGCCTGTGACATAGGGCTCTGAATGGCCAAGTGTCTGTCTGAGCCTAAATGAGATGATACGATCACATGAGAATGTGCTGGAGGGAGAGAGCCTGCAACGTCTCTAACTGTGTCATGAGGGGTATAAAAATGTTTGGACTGGACCTTGAGCCCAGCATGAATGATCGGGGCACCGCTTGATGGAAATGCAACGTCGCAGGCATATGGGAAGAAGCATCACTGCAAAAAATGGCTTATCTTACTTAGTATTTTTGTCTTGTTTCTAGCCAAAATATCAAAAAATTCTTAAATCAAGATACTTTTACTAGATAAGCCAAATGACTTAAGATATTTAGTCTTGTTTCCAGGGGGAAAAAAATAAATTAAGCGCATCTTGCTTAAAACAAGTAAAATTATCTGCCAGTGGGGTAAGTAAAATACTCTTGTCACAAAGACCGGGAAGACTTATCAGCCAGGTCAATGCCCAATGCATGGTTGCTGGACACACACCCCAGCCTTTCGGAGGGAGAGGGCAGACAATATCAAAACTCTTCTGCTCCTCTTTATGACACTAGAGAATATGGCAAGAACAACCTGCAGACATTACAAGCTCTCAAGTGTGTAAAGGAATGAACTGCTTGAACGTAGCTGAGTGCTGCTTTGCCATGTGGAATTTCTTGATGACAGCACTGACCATGTTGCAGAAAAGCACAGACAGAGACACTGGACAGGGGCATTGAGCAAAAAGGTCTTCTCCTTTCTTTCTGATCTCTGTGAGATTGAGCCACAGATGCATCTTTGTCGCAAAACAAACCTGCAATGGAGAGACTGACTGTGCAAACCATATGATTTGTGACTCGAAGCACCAGATCAGCGGCACACCGGAGCTGTTTGACTGCCTCAGGGGCCCCTTTGAACATATCCTTAAAGACGTCCTCTTAGCACGCCTGTAGTACCGCCATGGCCAGCAGCCATGTAGGACTTGCTAATCAGGAAAGACGTAGTCCTACAAGGATTAGATGGAACGGTAGGTTTTGTTTTCAAAGATAGGACCAATGACGGTGTGAAATTTCCTAGGAAAGGAAATAACCTTTGAAATATCCATATACCCTTGCTCCACTAAACCCATGATGGTGTTAAAGTCAGAAGTAGCCGAATTAGTGATACGATCTGAAAACAGCTGCTTTGAAGTTCTTGATGACTCATTATGGAAATCTAGAATGTGGATGCAAATTACAACCAAGCAGAAAGCACTCATCCAACTTGGACTGCTCTTCCTGCTGGTCAGTATCTAGCCAGTTCAGCTTTAGCCTGTCCAAAGCACATGAAACCATGATGTTCGTATGGGAGTGTTAGTCTCTGTGCTCATACCTCAGTGATAGCTTGAATGAATGCTCCATACTTGATCAAGAGCTCCATCACTTTGACTCTGTTTTTCTTACAGGCAATGTGTAGAGGAGTGAAACCATTCTAAAAAGAAGCAAGCAAGCAAGAAAGTGTAAGATTATTAAAAGCTTTATAGAGGAAACAAGACCCACAATAAGAAGAATGCATGTACCAATGCTCGAGCATTCGGGTTGGCTCTCTTGTCTAATAGAAGTTTGGTAACTCTGTAGTGACCACAGTGGGCGGCAACATGGAGGGCTGTCAGGTAGTCCAGTGTGACATCATCAACAGGTGCCTTGTGCTGCAGCAGGTGTTTGACACACTCCACATGGTCACCCTGCGCTGCCATGTGGAGTGGAGATAAACCGTTCTAGACACAACAAGAGTAAATTGAAAAAGAAAGTCAGAGAAAACTTTTTCATTGACACATCCCATATTAGTCTGTATGTGTTTGGCAATGTAAAACATTTTTAAACTTTGAAACTTTAGGAGAGACAAAAGAAAATTGTTTTTGGTATGTGATGGGTTGAGTTGTAAATAATGTAAAGTAATGCATTACATTATTGAGTTACTCTTACTCAAAGTAACTAACCAGATTTTGCAGCATTTAGAATTTAATTGACAGTTTCTGAAATTAAAAAAAATAATAATTAAATTAAAATAATTTCACAATGTATTTCATGTTTACTATGATTTACCAATACGTATTATCAGAAACACAACACCATATCATTAGATAATATTAATAATTAATTTTTTTGATATGCCTATCGAAATTTGCATTTATCTTATTTATGTTACTGTGTAAATTTTTTTTGAAACTGCTATTTCTTGGATTAACTTTTTTCTTATATCAGCTGGTTGAGGCAATCTCTCATCCAAAACAAGAGTACTTACTAAATACAAAGTTTTTTTTTTTTGCTGTGGATAACTGATTACTTGCATGCAGTGACTATGCATCATTAGATGTTGCACTGCTTACAGTGTTGACACCTTTGGTGAGTTTGGTAGTGTGTCTTTGTACATGTTGCAGTGTATACAAAATGTCATGTTATGGGAAGGGAAAGATTTTCAAAGCTATAACAGACATTACTTAGTAATTTAGGTATTAGGGTGTAATTTCAAACAGTAACAAAGCTTTACCCTTTACCTTTACCTTCAACAACACATTACAGTTAACGTCCAGAATTTATATTTATTATTACACAAAAACAATAGCATGTTATATTATAGAAGTCCTCATTTCGATAGCTACCTTGGTTCTGGCCAGCATAGGGGCTCCTCTCTCCAATAAGAGCTCCACTGCTGTGTCATGCCCACTTCTTGCTGCGCAGTGTAAAGGTGTGAGGCCATCCTGCAACACAGACATTCTCACCTTAAGGTCTCATCAGTAATTTCATTACAAAGCACTTTGGAACTCGAAAAAAATCACAAATGTGACGTTATCTACATGTAAATTCTCCTTAACCCCTACACTCTCAACCATAGTCTCTCTCCTGTATCTTTTACACTCAGTGCATTCATCATTGCTTATAGCACATAAAAAGCACTGCTGAAGTCAGTAACAACAGAGCGTGAAAGGGGTGTGTGTGTGTGTGTGTGTGTGTGTGTGTAGGATGATACATCAGACACTGCAGGAGGGAGACTGCAGAAGAAAGGGACAGAACACAACCAGCTGGACTCCACACTGCAGTCAAAATCTGAAGAAGAACACAGCCGGTCATGGCTTTAATCAGACCACACACACACACACACACACACACACACACACACACACACACACAGCTACAGTGACTCATCATCACTGGTGACTGCACATAGGAATTGTGGTTTCCACTAATATTAAGTTTACAATTCAGGCAAAAACAAATCTATGTGTATTTGAATATATAAATACACATATTTGTATCATTTTAATATTTTGGCAAATTAAAGCCTATAAGGTTTAACTGGATGATGTAATTAAAATGGGATTATAACAATGCATGTAACAAAGGCTTTAAAGACTTCTGACTGCTTATTAGATCATCTGACTGCTTATTGGATTGAGACTTTCGATTAATGAAGGTTCCAGTAGGCCTCTATGTGATGATTTTGCATGTTTTCCCTGTGTTTGCATGGGTTTCCTTCAGGTGCTCTGGTTTTCTGTACAAGTCAAAGACATGTAGGTCAGGGGAACTGGTGACACTAATTTGCTTATAGATTCAGAGTGTGAATGTGTTTGTCTGTGTTAGCCCTGTTATGAACTGGTCATCCATTCCCTGCATTTGGCCCAAGATAGCAGTTAGCAGATACAAGGTTTATTTTAATCATTTATTTTATATTAGTTATTTATTTTCAATAAGAAAGGTCATCCTGTGTGAAATGTGCCAAAACAATGTGCTGATAATTCTGCTGGTGGTGCAGACAGGAGCAGCCAAAGTAGAAAGAGAGTTTCTTAATTTCAATAGGTAATTTTTACTGTTTATTAAGTAGTTTGATATGAAGCAGATTACACTTTTAAGAGCAACTTTTAAAAAAACATAAACATAAATTCATAAATTAGATCTAAGCATAGCATACCTTTTTTCTATTGTTAACTGACATCTGGCTTATATCAGACTCATAAAAATGCTAGCCATCTCAGCTATGTGTATACACTATGTACAAAACAAAAGTGCAAACAAATTGTTACTAACCCTTGTTTTGGCATCAATCTGAGCCCCTCTGTCCAACAGCAGATGAACCATATTAGTGTTTCCCCTCTTAGACGCAACATGTAGTGGTGTGATCCCATTCTGTACAGACAAAAGAAACAAATATTTTTAAAAAATGCATGTGATGTGTTGTCTAAAAATGTGTTGTCAGAAATTAATTGAGCTGAGAATCATCTTTACATATTTTATGGATTTCTTTTTATCTAATGTAAAATCACAAGCTTTGCCTAAAATGTTTACAACTTGGATTGCACATCATGGCCAATAAAAATAAAATAAAATAAATAAATAATACATTTGTAATAATTTCCGTAACTATATAATTTCAGATAGTTGTTAACTTTGGTCTTTTTTTTTTTTTCTTCAATGACCATTTAGCCCTTTTTAAATGTCAAGTTAATTTAAATTCTTAGTTTGTGTATTGTATCTTATTGTGTTATTATGAAGTAGCTTTAATAGTAAATGTACAAGTGCTTAAGGAAGTCAAGCTCATGTACATGCATGTAAAAGCTGTAAACGCTCACCCTTGCAGTGAAGTCCACAGCAGCCCCTCGATTGAGGAGCAGTGTTGCAACATTTACATTTCCATAGTGAGCAGCGATATGCAGGGGTGTGAATCCACTCTACAAAAAGAATAAAAAGGGGATGGGGCACAAGAAGAAAATAAAATAAAAAACATGAGATATAAGACAACATTCCTACAATGCTTTAGAGCCAAGCTGTCAATAAACACAGATCTGAAAACAGCTAACCTCGCCTATACAACCATGTTAACTTACAATTAAAAAGCTGGTTTCAGATCTGCAATTAGTGTCATCTTCAACTCCAGCCCAAAACTGCAACCCTGACATTATCTTGTTTTAATAGACTACATTAGCATGCAGCAATCACATAAACGTACAAAATGGACAATTATGAAAACGGATTGAGCTCCTTGTTGCCTTAAAGGCACCTTTGGTCCCATGTGAAGAAGTCTGAAAAGAAACCTTAAACTTTTGACAACTAACACACATAAACATACACATATAAACTTTAAGAGAGGTCAAACTCCTAGACGCAGGCATGCAAACAAATAAATATACTAAAATTACAAATAAATCAACTTAAAATAAAGAGAAAGCTGTTTACAGAACATAACAAAAGACAGACAAAAACAACATTTAAGATGACATACAGTTTTAGTATAATGAAAACAAGGGGAACTTAAAGAAAAAGACTAAAGAAAACATAAAAGTATCAAAAAAACAAAAGTGCAGTATGCAGATAATATCAGTAATAAAATCATGTCTGGACTATAAGAAGGTAAAGATTGTAGAGGAGTTTGAATATGTGAAATTCTTGCCTTACCTTCCCATTCTGAAAGTCACGGTCCGATTTAATGTGAAAACATCATTTACAAAAGTGTGAAGAATATATTGACTGTGTGAAACACGTTCAAAGCTGGTGCAAAATCAAATATGCGATGCAGCATGCTGTGCAGTGGATAATTACATTAAAACCTAATAAAAACTTTGCAAACAGCAAATTGCCTGCAAAGGTTAAAGAAATCTGATAATTTCGAAGTACATAATTATATAGACCACTAACTACAAAACCTTCCTTCTGAACATACTTTTGTAACATGTATGATATTGCATTGAGCTGGTAGCATTCATACATCCAGCTGTGTATCACATAATAATCATTCCATCAATAATAATAATATCAATAATATTCATAATCATATCAAAACATCATAACTGATAACGCTAACACAACAACAGTTTAAGAATTTATATGCCACCTGCAAACATTCAAACATTATTTCTGGTGGATGTATGGATGTTGAAAAAGAACGATTAACCCCTCTTAGCACAGCCTATATATATTATATTATTAAAGAGCTTAATGCAATCACACTAATGCGTGCTGGAAGTCAAGCAATTGTTGTTCAGAGGCAAATTCATGCCACTGGGGTCTATTTGACCTTTAGGTAAGAGTAATGAAATAAATGTCCATTTCATTAAAATCATGTGACTCGCTTCCCTAGGCTTGTGTAGGCTTATATTTCAGGAAAGGCAGCAAGCAAAGCCAATATAAGACAGTGTTGTGCACTTGTCTGAATATTTTTTATTAATTTATTAGAAACTAATGAATTTAAAAAGACTGCTAAATTGATAATAAAACATTAAGACAATGGACGTGATATATATAAAATTTCAACTCAACTGAGCATGCAGTACTCTTGCATTAACAGTTATGTTAAAGTGCCCTTGCAGCTTAAAAAATCAGCAGCAATCATGGCACTAGATATAACATATAACATTCTCATTCAATACAGTTTACAAATAAAACTGAAATTTCTGACGTGACATATGCAAAGGGGTTTGGATGATGCTGTGAATGAGACTAACCAGCCATGCAAAGGTTCAAAAGAACTAAAAATGCTGAGTTAACAAACAGAAAAGCTCAATTCTACATGCCAAAAAGAGGACCAAAAATGAATACAATAAATCAATAGTTTTTATTTGCCCAAAAAAATGAGGAACTAGATAAATATCTCTACCTCAGTTGTCCTATTGACCATCATCTGTTGCAGCAAAACAGGGAAGGAAATAGGCTTGTTATATTTCACTCAAACACATTTGGGGTTGATAGCGGCAGCATGCAAATTGTGCCAGAGAAGCAAGAGGTCTTCATTTTTCTCTGAGGGACCATATCTATTACCCAGCCTGCCACTAGAAACCCATTCTTAAAGGTATACTAACTTACATGAGATGACGAACGGTATGAGGTCACGTGACCACTCAAATCACATTATTTTTCATGAATAACTGCTATTATCGCTTTCTGTTGCAAAATAAATGAACCCTTGTAATAGATACTCTTGTGAATACTGTGGTTTTATGGTGGTCTTGGCTCAATAATTTGCTTTTGTGTGATGATGCATGTCAATAGCTATCAAAAGACAGGACTACTAGCAAAACATAGACAAAATCACACATTCACACATCTTATGATTAAAAATTAATTAATTTGATGTTCTATATTTACAGGAATCTGTATGAAATATTGTAAATTAGGCTAGACTAAAACTAGCTTATACATAAATATAAACATTTCACATGACATTTAAGTCAACAAATGTCTAAAATTATTTTTAAATGAATCACTTAACTACTTTGGTTTTAAACTGAAACTAAAATTAAACTGGCACATTTTTCATCATCAGAAACATTCTGAATGTTGCATTTTTTACTTTGAACTAAAGTTAAAACAACACTTAAAGTATAAATCATTGGCTATTTTAAAGAAAAATAAATACCTCTATTAGCATTTCGAAAACAAAAAAGAGAAAACATTCGGTCTTAAACACAAACACACCGCACACAACAGACATGCATGCACACTTTCACACAAATGTAGGCTGCGCGTCTGTGCACATTCATTTTGCAAGTGCATGCTGTTTCTGCATATTTACAGTCAGTTATGGCATACACTAAGAAGTGAATGTTTTTACGACTGATAAAATAAAGTAATGGGTAAGTAGATAAAACAGTGAAACCCGGATAGCGTCAGGATGGAAACACAGGATGCAGGCACATTTATACTGGAGAGAGAAACAGAGAAACGCAGAGAGACAAACACAGACAAACGATTTCATCTGGCACAATAATGGAAGACACTAAAAACATCCTGAAACCACTGCAAGTCACATACAAACACGACTATAAACAAGACAGTTTTACAAGAACAATGTGACAAGATGCTGAATCTGTAACGGTCTGTTAATAGCGACATGCAGAGTAGGGATGGGAATCTTAAGGTATGAAATGAATCTGATGATTTGTTTCAATTGGTGCTAACAATATACCTAAACATACAAAAACTACTATTTTAACATCAGAGTTTTAAATTAAACTACCAGTTATTACGACAAAACTGTTCTGAATGTGTAACTACCAATTCAATTACTGAGCAAGTCATTAGTCTGATTCAAACTGCAATTGTAGTCACATGCAAAGCATGCAAAATTACGGACACCACAACTCCCATCGAAACATGCAGCTTTTAAGTTTGTGTATTTTTTTCCAATTCAGCTGAGAGATTGATCAAATGTCTTTGCACAGGTCAGAGATCACAAAAAAATATTTTTTAACAGAGCCCCTGTCCCCTGGGAAACTGCAATGTTTGCTAAAAATGTGTATGCAGCAGAATTCTGACAGTTCTGTTCAAATGGAAGTCAACGGAGGAAATACCTTTAATCAGTTTAACCTTTAAAGTTTAGAAGGTTGATTTTGTTTTACAGTGTTAGCATGCACCCAGTGAGAACAATGATAGATGTGTTGATAGATGTAGTTGTATTATTTCACAGTACCCAGTCTATATCTAAAATAATATCCCATTTAGACTGCAAGCACAAGTCTGCTAAAACGTGAAAAAGAATGAAGATGTATAAGAACCGTTACCAGAACAAATCTCGGGTCCCAACACTAATGCAGAAATTGATAAATCCCACCAAGGCCACACTCACTCTTATTATTCATAATGACATTATTTATCATACCAATAAACATTCTTTTTACATTTTGAAGCCAAATTTCAATTTGGATTTCAATATATATTTCCTTATATTTCCTTCCATCCTTGAACATACTACCCTCAGCTCTATGTTCCGCCCATATTTACCTTAGACTGTACATCGGCATTGTGGTCATTTTGGAGTAGCAGGGCAGCAGATTTCGTGTCGTCCTTGCGGGCTGCAATGTGCAAGGCAGGCAGACGTACTTTGCCCTTTGTGTCATTCTCTAAAAGGATGGACACCACCTGATTATGGCCTTGTTGCAGTGCAATAGCTAGAGGTGTGAAGCCATCCTGCAAAAAGAGAAAAACAAATATTTCAAATAATGCACTTAACCTTGAATTATGCCAATAATCCTGACACAACAGTATTTGGATGCTATCTGGGTATACTTTAAGGATAAGGTTATGGTGTAGTTCAGGGTAAGGGGTTAATATTTGTTACAGCATGTAGGCAATCAGCACTTTGCCATCAGCAAAGAAATCTTTAGGATCAGCTGTGGGGCTTTTTTATCAAAGTTTATCATTCTATACAATTTTAGAAGCACTTGAACTTTTTACCTCTGTTGCGGTGCTCTGGTTTCCACCATTCTCCAAAAGATAGCGCACCACATCTAAATGGTTTTCTTGAGAAGCCATGTACAGGGGAGTGAATCCATTCTATAAGAGTACAGATTTTAATGGTTTTTATTGTATTTACTTATTTATTTTTTTGCTTTTGCTTGAACTTTTGTTGGCATAAATGTCAAACTTGTTCCTACCTGAGATTGTGCATTAATGTCTGCTCCCCTCTTGACCAGGATCTTTACAACCTCTCCTTGTCCTGCTAGTGAAGCGATGTGGAGAGCTGTATTTCCTTTCTGTGAGCCAAACAAACACGTTCATCATTTACTCAGACATTTCTCTTAAAATCGCATGCCACATATTATATCAGGGATGTGCCCAAAGCTGAATACCTTATTTAGAAAGGCATGGATAATAACTTCAAAACATGTTACAAAAACTATTTGTTAACCCCTTAGCTGTCAAAGATCGGCAACGGCCCCAGATTATTGTTGTTTCACTTTCACAGCACGTTAAAACATCACACTCTTACTTGATCTGGACAAACTGTGCAACAGTAGAACGATTAAAGACTCCAGCTTCGATATTTGACCACTGTTTTGATAAAACATTGTTGCAGTGACAGTAATTTAGTAATTTATGTCAGGAGTACAAAATAATAAATCCGTATGTGTCATATTTGGAATAGAAATTCACCACGCATTCATATTCAGTCACGTCTGCAGCGATTTATTTTTGTTCACATAGCTTCACTGAACAGCGTCAATAAGGGCTTATAGTCCAAAGATGCATATACATGGAGATATATAGATATATTCACACGTTTACTTCATATCTCTTCAGAATCATCATTTCTATTAATTTTCCACTGATTTACACGATCTGATGATAATTAGCAGCTCCCTGGGCTGTCTCAGTGTGTTTACTCTTCCGTGTAGAGGTCTGCATTCCCGAAATTGCGAATTGTTTTAAATTCCCGAATAAAACGCGGTAGCGGTGGGTAACTCTGGTGTAATTTGAATGGGAGCAGGCGGTCTAACAATATCCCATTCCCGACGTCCATTCAGAACAGCATATCTGCGCTTTATTCTTATTGACCACCGGTACAGCCTGCACTCAGACTGTTATGCACGCGCTGCATGCATGCTTTCTGCGTCACGCGTTTTATTTGCGAGGTCTGTGCATAAATGTTAAACGAATGACAAGACGAATAAAAATAAGAAATACAATTTTTGTACATTTTTATTTTCTCTGATACTTTTTTCCAACTGTGTTGCATAAAATATTAAACGAATTTTGTGTCTTAAGATAATTCATATAAATTCAAGTCAAAGTCAATAAATTCAAGACTCTTGACAAGATGAATAAAATAACATACAATTTTGTGCAGACTACACTTTTATTTGTTAGTTGATCTCTCTTTCTTTCAGTAGCGGAAATTTAAATGTGAGATTCTGGAAACGAGATCTAAATTTAGCGGGAATGGTCCGGTCGGGAAGAAAATTATTCTAAGCGGACAGCGGGTGAACAAAGAGTGAGCGGGTGGGTGCGGAATATAACCTTGCGGGAGGGGGACTAAATCAATTTTATTAGCCTTTTGTTAGCCTTCTCTAAAAGCACACATGACATGTTCTTAGAAAATGTTTCATAAAATTCACAGTTTTAGAGATTATGTCCTGAAATTTGAAATGAAGCATCAGTAGACTTGTGGCTTTAGCTTCATTGTGTTTCTAAAACCATTTACCACAGTAACATATTTTTTATACATTTAAAAACAAATGTTTTTAATATTTTTATTTTTGTTTTTATGTTTGAGCTTATATATCTCTATTATCATAACAGTCTGAGTAATTCTGATTCTTGAACAGTAAACTTTGAAGTGTCAGCTTTGTGAACATATGTTGATTATATATCTAGTCAGAAAGACTCATGAGCAGCAACCTTTTTATTTTGGGTATGTCATTTGTGTCTCCATGCCGAAAATGGGGGGTGACAGCAAAGGGGTTAAATACAATCACTCCTTGTTATTGCTGGACAACAATGCTAGGTCATATTTTAGATAAGTTTCTGAATTTGCAATGCAATATTGAGTGTGCAAAGTAATTAGAACAAAATTAGTGCAGCACGATCAGCCATTTTGCCATTTCTTTATATTGTGCATCTATCAGAAATCAAGAAAAACATCAACTGAGATACTGTACAATACATATTTTCTATTATTTGATTTGTCTTATTGGATGTTTAAATCCTTCCAAGAGAGATATATGATAGAATGCTTCTCTGTCCATTTAATTAGCTCTGGCGCAGTGTGCCGCTTGTCTGGCATACAACCGGCTTAACAAATTGCAGTAAACTGTCTCAGTTACAAAGTAATGTGCTTATGATTACAATAACATCAAGCAACAATAATGAATGTTTTTGCACAGCTAAAATAATTGCAAGCGGCTGACAGCAGATGTCTTGCACATTCATGTTTAAAATGGCTGCATCCACTCTTCTTATGCTGTAAATATATTAAAAATTAGTCTAGTCTTCGCATCTGTTTGTTTCAGGTTTGAATCAGGTCTCCTGTGATGGAGTAGAATTGGCCAGGTGGCGCTGTGTGTGCCGTAACTGCTTGATGCTCTACCCTGGATGTATCAATACCAATGTTCCACATCCATTTGTCCTTTGTGTCAGAGCATGAGCATGTGAGGTATATCACAAATAGAATGGGCCATTCAGTGTAGACAGTATCACTGATCATAAGGGGCTCTATTGTTTTTTGTAGTTTAGACCAATAGGAGTTGGTTCCTTTGGAAAACAGATAAACAGACTGTACTAAAGAGCTAACCTTAACCCTTTATTTAGTGTCCAAATATGCCCACTGTATTCCGTTAACTACCCATCCATATTTGAATTCAAGGGGAAATATTTTTGAAATATAAATACATACATAAATAGATGAATGCTCCTTTGACCATTGATTACCCCTCTTAAATAATGAAGAATATGTGGTGTGGTGAAAATGTATCTGACCACCATATGCAGCGACATTTATTTGAAAGAAAACTCAAAAAGCAATAAAACTTTGAAGATATTTTGAAGCACACTTTAGAAGTGTGGAAGCTTCTACACAAAATTCCATAAATGATATATCCCAAAACAGTTAACAGTGCTTTTCATGAGTGCATGTCTAGTAGCCTGAAGGAACCTTAGTGGTCCTGCCTTTCAGCTCTTGTCATATTGACTGAAGTACCATGCCAGTCTGTCACAGAAGGAAAGCACAGCCTCAAAATTTCTATATTTAAAGTTGTTGTTTTAATACATCTGTATTGCACATACTTGTTGTGTATAAACATGAATTTAAGCAGTAGCACAGCATGAATGTCAAAGGGACCTGACAGCTTGAAATAAGAACTGATATTCAAATGTCAATGCTGACATGTTTCCCCCCTATTCATTTAGTGTATTTACAGGTGTTGGGTTGGTGATTGAAAGGTTGGGAAGTGTTGTTAAGACTATTTCAAACTGTCAGGAAAACGATAATCTGTGCATGGTTTTGATCAGCATTAATTTACACAAAGCCATTCCTAGAAAATTCCCAGAAACGTCCCTCACAGAGTGCCAGTGCTGCAGAGCTAGAAACCATTCGCAAGTGATCTACAGAGTTGCTAGCATACTTTTTAAAGCACAGCATAATGTTACACCATTTTTATTTGTAAACTTGGGTTGTAGCTTCCGGCCAGTCTTTGTAAACCTTAACACAAGTACCATCCATATTTTTCTTGAGAAACTCTACACTGTAAAAAATGACCGTGAATTTAACGGTAAAAGACTGTAAAAATGCTACAGTAAAAACCTGTTAAATGGTTAACGGTAAATTCCCCTACTATATACGGTGAAAAACTGTATTGGACATTACATGTATTGGACATTAATTTTACAGTAGTATACCGTTTTTGGAAGTGAAAAAGACTGTATAATTTACAGTGAATAACCGTAAATTGACATTCCCAGAATTCCCTGCGTTACATTTCAAATTTGATGTTTTTTTGTTGAAATAACTATGTTTCTTAGTTTTTTCTTATCAGTTTTGTATATTAGGGTTGTGTGTTACACCTAATGTTGTTAAATGAATGTTTATTGCATTATTTAAGTTTCATGTGTGTTACCATGATGGTGTTTGGTGTTTGTGTGAATGACACTGTGCACCTTCTATATATGTTATTATCTAAAAGCTGCTTGTGATGGGCTTTGGTTCATCATGTGACTTTCTCATCATCACCTGCATTTGGTGGTTATCAGTGTATTACAAAGGTGCAAAACAGATTTCAGTACTTCAATAGGTTGGTATATTAACATTATATCAGTTAATGAAAATACGGTATTTAACTGTAAATTTAAGTTAAAACCGTAAAACCTAAAACGTTGCTACCGTATCTTTTATGGTAAAATTCCGTCAACCACAGCTGCCGGTTTTTTACCGTAAATTTTACAGAATTTTTTTTACAGTGTACCTTGGTTGCAGAATCAACTGAAGACCCCCTGCCCAGCAGCTCCTGGACCATGTCCACATGTCCTTCCTTTGCTGCCAAGTGCAAAGCGTTGAGGCCATTCTGTGGAGGTCAGAGACAGAAGTTAGTACTTCATTCTCTACTAAAAGCAAACATTAAAGGAAAGCATCATAAAAACGATGTACTGGCGAAAGAAGACTCAAGTATACCTCCTCATCCATTCCCAAGGTATGTTTTCTGTCTTTGAGATTACAAACTCAAAATATGCATGCATTAAAGAGAGTTAAATGTGCCAGGAGTTGTTTAATGTCAGGTTTATCCTATTAAACGCAATGTGCAGCAATTGCAGTCTCAAAAAAGTTTTATAAAGAGGTAGTAATAAAATGAGTGTTGCAAGCTAGCAGATGACTACCTCTGGCTACCTTAAAAGACAGTGCAATCTAAAAATCTCACTGACATGTGGGATCTCTTTGGCAGCCAACACAACCTTTGATAATGCAGTGAAGTACCTAGAAATCTAACTGTCTACACATCGCTTTCAACAACCTAATTTGGAAAGCACAGTATGCTTTTATTATGTCATTATTTATAGAAACACTACCTGTCAAAGGTTTGGACATGTCTTGTTCTTTTTATTATCATTTTCCATATTTTATATTAATAGAAAAGCAATCAAAACTAGAAAATAACACAAATGTAATTTGTGTAAATGCATTGGAAATATGTGATGAATATGTAGTGATATAACACGAATAAACAGTTTTTAGAATTAAACAAAAACCGTTCAACACTTCTCCCATATGCTCCTCTCAATCACATCAAGCCAAATGAAGAGTACTTCTTGAATATATCATGTAACAAATGCTGTAAACTGTTCTCTAGACTGTGGGTGGGGTGGCTCAATTTACAACTTGTCTTATGCAACCCTGTGAAATTACTGCTTGTAATCCCCAGTATGGGCTGTTATTGTACATTTAAATGGGAACATGCTAGATTAAACAGAACTGTCTGTTTTCATTTTATTTAAAGGGACTTTATGTAGAATTCAGAACCCCTTGTTATTAGTGACACCGGTGGCTGTTCAGTGAGTTGCAGCTAGCAACTTATTTGCTCATGCTCAATATTACTCTGACAACGCTGCGTGAGCGTGCAGCATTCAGCACTCCATCAGTTGTTGCAAATAAATACGTATTATTATTATTATTATTATTATTATTTTCTTTAAATGTTGTCTAAATGTGTCTTACTTGCTATTAAACATTTTCAAACTAAACTTGCTAACATTACCTCTTATCCTTCTTAAATCATATTTCTATCGCTGATGAAAAACATCCTTTCTGTCACAACCTTTTGATTTTCACAGCAAAAACGTCCCAAGTCCTTCACATAAATTAGTCTACAGGCTTTTATAGACAACCTAGGAAGTCAGGAAAGGTCCTAATTTTTAAGTTCCGTTACAAGCTGTTCACACCTTGGCAATAAAAAAGTGATTATTATTTATTTACAAATTCTTACATATAGCCCCTTTAAAATGAATGGGATAGTTAAAACAACAAAAACTCAAAAATAGACTCTTTAAATGTTCACTGGAATATGTCCAACATTCTTTTTTTTTTAAACATGGTTTATTTCTTGTTCAAGTTGGTCTACATACAATAGTTGATCAGGTTAACTACTTTGGTGGGGTCAAGGTCAACCTGACAGACCCTTCTGTAGACAATCTCAGATCAGCAACAACACCATGCACAACAACTATGCTACCCCAAATAAACAGCATGCTAGCCAATGGAGAAAAAGCCAAAGGACATTCAATACTGCAGCCCGAATGGTCATGTGCCTGCTGTTTACCATACTAGGCACACACTGTTGCCATAGCAGAGCTGTTAACAAGCTAACATGCGTTGCACGAGGTAGGCACTTGATAATAGAGCTCCTAAAATAGCAACAAACTCTCTGAGGGCATGATGAAGCACCAAGAAATCAGTGGCATGAAATAGTGTCAACATTTGGTCTCTCAAAATAATAAACTCAGCAAAAAAAAAAAAGAAAGAAACAAAGAAAAAATAAACAGACTATAGAATACAGAAATATGAAATGTTGCATAAAATATGAAATTATTATTATTTGAAATGTATTATATATGAAACAAAACCCACCAGTAGGTGGCGACATGTCTTAGTAAGTGAACCATAGAAACAAACCAGCTGATTCATTCATGAAGGAAACACCACTCTCACCTTGTTCCACACGGGATAAATCTGCCTCTAAAATACACTTCGGTGTGAGAATGATCATGGTCGCCATATTGAAGTGTTGTTCCAGACTTAAGTGATTGAAACTGACCACTTCAAAGGGCCGTTTGATGGGTACAACTGATGGACTCTTGACTTCCATGTTTCTTTGCAGGGACCAGGGCCCATATTCACAAAACATTTTATCTTACCACTAAGAGTTCTCCTAAATAGCAGTAAAAGTTTTTAGCAAAGAGTTTCTCTTTAAACCTATTCACAAAGCTGCTGAGACAAACTTTTACTAAGGAATAGAGAGAAGTCTTAAGCTAAGAGTAAGGGCGGGGTTGACCTTGTTGCTATGGATGATGTCAGCATGCTTACTAACTATGCACACAGTGATTGGCTGATAGTCTCTGTCAGAGATTTATTCATATACATATTTTAGAGTAAAGATAAAGGTTTAAAAATAACAATGTTGCCACATTCAAATAAAGATTTTTAAAATGCAGGCTAAAGTGTCACTAATTAAACAAGTATGTGTTCAGCTAATTGTCAA